GTATGTCCTCAGAAGCCACAAAATTACAAGCCAAAGGGCTTCAGGGACAAGAAGTTGATTCAGTGATAAATAGGAAAGGAGCTGTAAATAAAACTAACATGGTAGATCCAAGGAAATCAGATTTCAGTAAAAGTCTAAGGAATCAGGATACATTTGATTGCTTCAGGTGTGGAAAAAGCCATTCAAGAGGGCAGTGTTTTGCCTTTGGGTAAAAGTGCTATAGTTGTGGCAGATTTGGTCACTTTTCAGTGGGGTGTCAAAAATTTAAAAATCAACAAAATCCTGGTGCTGGTTTCAGTGGTAGCCGATACAGAGACAATGGAAGAAGGCCAGAAGTACATGAGGTGGGGAACGAAAGTGATAGTGAGCTGGTGATTGATGCTATTGAAGTAAGTAACATAAATTCTTTAAATTATAATGAGAAAGAAAAAGAGTGGTTCGAAACAGTATTGATCGATAATGAATTTTTTAATATAAAATTAGTTTGTGGGGCTCAATGTAATGTATTGCCAATTGATTATGTGAGAAAATTAGAGAAAGAACATGAAATAAGAAAAGCTTATTATTCTTTAATGTCATATGGTAATCATAATCTGGATGTAGTTGGACATATAATTTTAAAGTGTTTAGTTAGGGGCAAATCATTTTCGATCAAGTTTGTAGTTGTAAATAGTAAAGGAAAGCCATTATTTAGGATAAATGCTTGCAAACGATTGAATTTGATAAAAAGAGTTGACGAGATAGATTTTGACTTAAAAAAAAAGCCAAGCTAAATTTTGTTAAAGCAAACACAGATGTGTTTGAGGGTACAGGTAAAACTCCTTTTGTATATAAAATTGTTTTAAAAAATAATTATTGTCCAACCATAAGTGGTTGCAGGCGGTTGCCAGATACAGTCAAATCAAAATTGACAGTAACACTAAAAAAGTTGGTACAAAGAGATGTTATAGAGAAGGCTGATGAACCTTCGGAGTGGGTGAATAATATCGTTTGTGTGGAGAAGGCAGATGGAAGTTTGAGATTATGTTTGGACCCATTGTATTTGAATAAAAATTTGTGTTTAGATAGGCATCCTATTCCCACATCTGAGGAGATCGGAAGAAAACTTCAAGGTGAGAGCATTTTTTCTGTGTTAGACATGAAAGATGGATTTTATCATATTCTACTAGATGAGGAAAGTAGCAAAATTTGTACGTTCATAACACCGTTTGGTAAATATAGGTTTTAACGACTACCATTTGGTTTGGCCTCAAGCCCAGAAGTTTTTCAAAGAATCAATGAAAAAATGTTCGGTGACTTAAACGTACAAATATACTTTGATGACATAATTATAGCAGGTATTGATGAAAAAGAGCATGATGAGATTTTGAGGTGTGTTATAGACAGAGCGAGAAAGTATAATTGTAAGTTTAATCAGGAGAAATTTCAATATAAAGTTAGTGAAGTTAAATATTTAGGACAAATATATTCTAAAGAGGGTGTAAAACCTGATGGTAATTACATAGAAGCGATATTGGCCTTAGAAACTCCAAAGAATAAAAAAGAACTATTAAGAATTCTTGGTATGGCAAATTATTTAATCAAATATATACCAGATTTGTCGAATATTGTATTACCGTTAAGGGCTTTAATTAAAAATAATGTAGAATATATTTGGACTAATGAGCAAGAAGAGGCTTTTAATAGGTTGAAAAGTGTACCTAATGAGTAGTCTTCCGACTTTAAAATTTTTAATAGTAAATTACCTATAGTAATACAAGCAGATGCAAGTCAGGGTGGTATAGGTGGGTGTTTGTTGCAAGAAGGAAAACCTATTGCCTTTTATTCAAGAAGTTTAACAGATAATGAGACTAGATTTGCACAAACTGGGAAAGAGTATCTAGCAGTGTGTTTTTGCTTGTTGAAGTTTCATCAGTTTGTTTACGGTCAGAATAAGTTAACAATTCATTCTGATCATAAGCCCTTAGTAAGAATTCAAGAAAAAGACATGGAAAAATTAGTTCAAGGTTACAAAGAATGAGACTTAAAGTTTTAAAGTATAATTTTATTATTGAATACTTACCTGGTAATCAAATGTTTATAGCTGATCTGTTGAGTAGGTCATTTATTAAAAATACACCAAAAGAAGACATAAATTTTAGTGAAGTTGTTCGTTGTCTAGAAACAGAGCTTCCTATCACATCTAATCGTTTGCAAGACATTAAAGACAAAACTAATGATGATCTAGATTTTAAGTTTATTATCAAATGTTGCTCAACAAGTTGGCCAGAAAAAAGGTTCATTGACTCTCCAGAAGTTAAACAGTTTTCAAAGCTACAAGAGGATTTGGTTATTAAAGATGGAATAATTTTTTATAGTTATCGTATCTGTATACCCAAAGCGCTGAGGTTTTATATGCTCAAACAGCTACACAAAACTCATTTCGGAGTTGAAAAAACTAAAGCGAGAGCAAGGAAACTTTTCTACTGGCCTGGAATGTCTGTTGAGATACAAGATTTTATTGGTAAATGTCGACTATGCGAGATATATAGTAGAAATTGTACAAAAGAGCCACTAATTTGTCATGAAGTAGGTACCCAAACTTCCATTTGAGGTTGTAGCTTCTGATATTTTGGACTTCGGGGGAAATTCATTTTCAGCCCAAGGTTTGCCAAGGAAGTTAGTATCTGATAATGTTCCATATAATAGCTTCAAGTTTAGAGAATTTTGTAAGAGATTTGATATTGAATGTGTTTTCTCGAGTCCAAGATATGCTAGAAGTAATGGGTTAGCTGAAAAAGCTGTACATATTTGCAAGCAAATATTAAGGAAGTGTCAGAATGAAGATGATCTTTTTTATTTCTTATTAGAATACAGAAATACCCCCTTATATGGACTTAATTTTTCACCTTCTGAACTGTTAAACAGCAGATTATTAAGAACGAATCTTCCAATTACCTCGAGTCTTCTTGAGCCAAAAGTTGTCGATATATATGATCAAAAAGTAAAAAAACAAGAAGTAACAAAATATTATCATGATGTGTCTGCACAGTCAAAACCTGAATTTAATGAAAATGACAATGTTTTGTCCAAAGTAAGAAAAGAAGATTCCTGGGTCCCGGGGAAAATATTAGAGGCGCATTCAACGCCCAGATCGTATAAAGTATCAATCAATCAATCAATCAATTCTTTATTGTTTAAAAAGAATATACATTCTTATAACAGTATAAAGTATCTGATGAAAGTGGTGTATTCAGGAGAAATACTTCTTTTCTTAAATCTAGTAAGAATGAAACTGTTGTTAATCCCAGTTGTGACGTAGATACATCTTGTGACATTAACAATGAAACAAGTAGTGAATCAAAGCATGATGAGACAAATTCTAATTTTAAAAATCATTCTGATACTACAAATGGGATTGATAACTCCCATACTTATAACTATTGTAATACTAGATCAGGTAGAGCCATTAAAAAGCCTAGTCATTTTAATGATTATTATACTTATTAGGCTTCTTTTGGCTCATAGTAGTTTTGAGTTGTATCTTAAGTTTTAGTTTATAAAGAGGGGGATGTTACATATAGGGTTGTTATTGAACGTACTCCTTTATGTAGGCAGCCACTTGTCATCTGTCAAATGATGAGTGGCGCCAAGCCAGTCATCATGAGACAGAGATGAATAATAAATGTTTAAATAATCATTAGTTGTTTTATTGTGAAATAAACATTAAACAAATATGTAACAGAGTCGCATTTTAACAGACGGGTTGTAACAGACGCTTTGCAAAATTAGTTTCGTATAGAGTTGAAATAAACTACACTTTTAAGTTATTTCGAGTTTCACTTTCAATTTATACCGGATAATAGGAACAAGGCCCAAGGCCTAGAAATAATCCGAAATTTCTACATTAGAGCCAGCGGAAAACTCTGGGTTCCTAACACATGTTATTACAACTGCATTCTGCATTCCCCTCGCCGATGCCCCATAGCTGTAAATTCTCTGGCCAGACTATAAAGCGACAAGCGACGACTCCCATGTAACTTCTGTAAAACATGTTCGTGCCACACTCCACCCCACCTTACTAGGGTTTATAGTTTGGCAAGTGGTAACTTGGTAGAGACGAAAGGGGGAAGAAAACTGGGGCGTAACCTAAAAATATCCACTGACACCTCAACTGACACCGCCTGATGACAGCCATGTCTTTCGGTTCAGTAGCACCGGAAACACCAAGGAAATAAACCAATAAAATTATTAGAAAAAAATTCTCTAGTTTTGCCAATAACCACGCCACTGCGTGCTGTCGTTCAGACTCTAACCAATAGAATCATGCCTCTGAATAATCACGCCTCTCCACATCCATCGTTTCGCAATGTTGCCGGATTTTTTTCTCTTTCGAAATACTACACATGCATACACAGTGTTGCCACAGCCTCTGATAGTTTCGTGCCAGACTATATTTTTAAATGGGGCCAGATTTAAGAATTTCGGGCAAACCGTTTTCAAATCAAAAAGAGGAGAGAAAGCCCGCAGGCGCCGCCGGAGGCAGACATTTTTTTCGGGTACAACGCCCAAAAACGTTTAATTTACATAAAATAATAATGATTTGGCTTGTTATTGAGAAACGGGCTAGATTCGAAGAAGAGTGGCCAACGGGCCACTCCGTCCTAAAAAGGGCCAGATCTGGCCATATGGGGCCACCTGTGGCAACACTGCCCATACAGCAAAAAAAAATATGTCACCAACTTGTTTATCATTGTTTCCGTCAAGTTTGGCAAAGCAGCAAATTCTTTTGGAGTTCGCCGTTTGGCTAGCCAGACTATAGTTAATCCCTAAAACAAATAATTTTAGCGTGTTCTTTTATTTTTGTTCATCATGCCGCCATGCAAAAACTAACCTCGCTTATTATAAGTCCCCAAACAAAAAAACCCAGACACTCATTTTGCATTCGTGAAATATGACTATGACTCAGTCAGAGATAAACCAAAACCAGTGAAGTGATAAGCAGTCATAAGTTGCTTATCGATAAAACAACATATCTTTGAATGTATAATAATTATTATTTACCAAAGTATACCTAAATGCTTTAGTTTTAAATTTTTATTTGTAGAAATTGGCGAATAAGCACCGATTTTTAAAGATACAAAAATAAATTTAATTCGGGTAAGTTTTATTTTACTTCCTAAGCGTAGCTTCTTCGTTTAATTTTAGCCTATTATTGCCCCACCTTAAAATCTCGCTTTTTATCAATCGAAGGTTCATAAGGGTTTTCCATGATTAACTTTAAAATATTGGCTACGAAAAAATTTCGATTCAATTGATGCGACATTCACAGCTTTTTGGACTTGTTATTTCAAAATTGTAAATCTAATGTTTACATACAACAATATTTGCTTCAAATTCCAGATGGACCCAGCACTTCAGTACAAAACTTTAAAAACATCATTTTACAATGCCTTGAGGTCAAATGACACCCACAGTCTTTCCAATCTACTTGAAACGACTGGAATTGAGCCTGCCAATTTAGTGTCCCTATTATCAGAAACGTATGAGGAAGCTAAATTGAAAAATATCCCATTATCCCAAGATATTCAGTCTATGGCTGAGTATAAATTGCTGGATCTTCAATTTATTAGTGGAATACGTAATGAACCATGTGACGACTTCAGAACTTCATTTACACAAATTACGGATCACCTTAATTTTGTATGTAAAATTATAGAATTATTTTTGAAAACACATTTCAACATCGATACAGAATTCGTTTACCATTGTAGATATATAGCACAACACGTATCAGTTTTGAAAAGAAGACTCGAATATTCTTATGATACAATCCCGTGGGAAGAAATGCAATTTTGTTTGGCTATGTATGTGCATATTTTGATTAAACCAGAACACTCCGATATTATTTATAAACTTATATTAAAAAAAGATAGAATTTTAAACTACTTAACACACTTTTATGAAGAACTTGAAAAAATAAATAAACAAATCACTGAAACTGATTTAAAGCGTAAAAGAAGTTTTGACAGGAATTATTTAAAGGACTGTGTTCTGAAAAAATCACCAAAATTTGGAGATTTATACGCTGATTTCACGTTACTAAAAGACATTTATTCTTTAAATAAAATTGATAGTTACATTGCAAAAGCATTAAGAGTTAGTTTTAAAGAAGATAATGTCATAATTGGACAATTAGTTATTGAAAGAACTCTTCAAGTCATGGGAGAATACTTCAAAAATACTCCAGATTCTCCAAATTTGTCCGATAATTTATACAAAATGTTATTGAAATCATCACCAAGAAATCTGAAAACTGTTTTAGCAAATTTACGAAATATGCTATCACATTCATTTTCGTTGACCAGAAAATTAGAATTAGAAAACTCAAAAGATCCAGAAGTTTTTGAGAAAGTTCAAATCGACTTAAGAAAAATTCAAATAGATGTCATTTATTTTTTGTATAAACAAAAAATTGCCGCAGTTAAAAGGTTTTTGAGGAGTTTCTTAAATATGGAAGATATTAAAGACTTAGGAGTTATTTTAAACCACAGTAATATTGAAGCTATTGAAGAAATAATTGATTATTCAATAAATATAGAAGAGTTTTTGAAAGTTAAGGGTCTTATCGATTTGTTTTGTCAAAAAATATCAGAAGAAAGTTGTGATTATTTTGAAGAAATTGAAGACATTCGAAATTCTCTCAAAACCTACGAATCGAAAGTTATAAATGTTTCATCTTCATATGCAGAAGTACTCAAAAAAGTCTGGGAACTAATTAACATTAAAAAAGATTTAAATGTTATTAAAAATATGATCCGTACGTATCTGAGTTTACTATCAAATTCTGAGCCAAAAAATTTATACAAAGATGTGTATTTGAAAATTCTTCATATTCAAGATGATTTGCAAATGAAAAGAGATTTTATCAAAGAAAATATTTTAAATCCAGATGAAAAAATCGTCAAAATAAACAACATTATTATAGAAATTCAAGGCTACATTAAATTGCGACTACGCAGAATGAAATGGATTGAAGAAATGGAAGATGATTTAAGTTTGAAAGAAGATGAAATTATTGAAAAATATAATGAGGCTGACCAGATATTTGGAATCGTTGTAAATAAACTAGAGACAATTCAAGATAAAAATGTTGTTCAAAAAGCAATAGAAATCTCACGAAAACGCCATAGTCTTAAAAATGAACTTCAAATTGATTCATATGAAGATATGACAAATGACGTATTTACCAGCAAAGTATCGTTTTTGAATTTAAGTGTAAAACGACAAAAGGAAATATTATATAACTTCGAAAAGAAAAAAATTGATAAGCTTAAATTGATGATAAAAGAAATAGATGATAATTATGGAGCCTTTTTGAAGAAGCTTGGTGATATGTTTCCTTTGGTTAAATATCTAAACCCCATAAAGGCATTTTATGAGAGTTTCAAGTTTAAAAATTCTTTGAAGAGAAAAATAGATAAAGCTATTGATGAAGCTATCGATGAAAAAATTATTAATTCTTATAGGGAAAGACTCAATAGACTACAAACAATTTTAATTTATGCTCGAAAAAATAGAAATGATGATTTATTAATGGCCTCGTTGGAAATGTTAGTTCTGGATTTGATGGAGTTTTTGGCAAATGTTAAGTTGTTGGGTGACAACAAATTTTTATCTGTAAACGCTTCATCCATTTTAATGGGAAAGCAATTGAGAAATTTTTTGGCTCATGGTGATATTTTAACAGACTTGTCATTCTATAATAACAAGATTAGTCTTATGTTTCATGCAGAAAAGCTAGTTCAAGCCACTGAAACTATTTTAAGCAGAAAAAATATTGTGGTGGGATATAAGGCAAATGATGTTGGCATCGGTTTTCAAATTTATTTTCAACAATGTCAAAATGTCATAAGAATTCAGGCAAAATTGTTTAAATTAGCAAAAAATTATGCTTTTGGAGAACTCAAACAAATATTAGAGGATGGTGCAGATATGTTTGGCCGTTCATTCGACAACTGGAATATATTGAACTTTGCAATTAAAGAAAAAAATTATTTATTATTCAAAAATGTAATGAACTATTTTGATTACAACAATACCAAAGAAATCGTTGAAGCCTTAAAATTTGCAATTGGAGAAGGCAATTTGAATGTAACGCAATGTTTAGTTAATAATTTGCCATTGGATTTAATTTGTAAAATTAAAAATGAAACAACATTTCTTAATACAGCACTAATGCGTGGTCAAAAACATGTTGCTGAATTTTTAATTGAAATAGGACTTAAACTAGATGTTAAAGACTTGCTATATGCCTCAGAAAATGGATATGTTGAAATAGTGCAAATGTTAATTCACGATAACGATGAAAAGATCTACGATTATTTCCGTCCATTGAAACTGGCAGTGAAAAATGGTCATTTTACAGTAACTAAAATTTTATTGAATTTTGTCAAAAATCAACCGGATAGAATTGCGCTTTTCAATATTGCAGCTCAATATAGTCATCTAAATCTGTTGAAATATTTTTTAAAAAACAATAAACATTCTAATGATGATTTAACAGAAGCCATAGATATAGCAACGCAGCATGGCAACTTACAAATAATACAATTTTTGTTAAAAACCTCCAATATCAAAACTTCACTAAATTTCATTTACCTAACAGCTTCACAATACGGACATTTGAACATTATAAAATGGCTAATTGAAAAAAATATTGATATAAATGTTGGAGATAACGATGGTAAAACTGCGCTACATTTAGCATCGCAATGTGGGCATTACAGCGTTGTCCAACAATTGCTTCAACATAAAATTAATCCAAGTATCCAAGATAACTCCGGATGGTCAAGTTTGCACTGGGCTTCAAACAATAAACATATTAAAATCATAAAATTGCTAATTGAAAATAACATTAACGTGTTAGCACAAGATAAACAAGGACAAACTGCTTTTCATTTAGCAGTAGCAAATGGCGATATGGATGTTTTAACTGTTTTATTTAAAACTGAAATAAAACTTATGGCCGTAACCAATAACAAAGGGCAAACGGCTTTACATTTGGCTGCACAATATGGCCATATTAATATTGTTGAAATGCTAATTGAATCTGTTAATATTAATGCTAAAAACATTAATGACGAGACTCCTTTAATTGTCGCTACTGACAATGGTCATAATGATGTAGTGATAACATTATTAAAGCATAAAGCGGAGACCTCATGTAAAACTAGAAAAGAAGGATATTCTCCAATAACAATCGCATCATCTCATGGGCACCTAGATATACTAAATAGTCTTATTAAATTTAAAGCAAATATCGAAACTGAGGAACATAGTGGGTGGCGAGCTATCCATAGAGCCGTACAAAACGGATATGTTGATATATTTAACGCCTTACTGAAGCAAAATGTTAATATTAATGCTGAATTCAATCATGGAGGAACAGCATTACATACTGTTATGCGTAATGGACATGTTGAAATAGCAAAAAAATTAGTTACACATGGAGCAGACATAAATGCTTTATTTTTTGGTAATATGTTACCATTACGTATTGCCGCACACTTTGGTCATAAAAGTATTGCAGAACTACTATTAGTAAATGGCGCTAAAGTGGATGATCTTGGGAATGATAAAATAACTCCGCTTCATACTGCATGCTTCAATGGTCATTTAGAGGTGGTCAAGTTACTTATACAACATGCTGCAAATTTAAATTTGAAAAACAATGAAGAGTGGACTGCATTACATTTTGCTGTGAAATATGGATTCATTGAAATCGTTTCAATATTGCTGGAAAATTCAGCTGATATGTATGCTGAAAATAATTTCTATGCTAAAGGTTTTCATATAGCTTGTGAAGCAGGGCATAATAATATCGTTAAAATGTTTCTTAACAAATACAAAATGGACGTAAACGTTAGAGGGGGAACCGGAGTTAGCGGATTACACTGGGCAAGTGCTAACAATCGTAATGATGTTTTGAATACCTTGATAAGTCATGGCGCTGATGTTAATCTTAGAGCTAATGATGGTTCTACACCATTACATTGGGCGGTGGACCACCTTGGCTCTGTGAACATTATAAAAACACTTATTAAAAATAATGCCTTAGTGAATATTCAGGAGTGTAAAGGTGCTAGTCCTTTACATTTAGCATCATTTAAAGGTAAATTAGAAGCTGTAGAAGAATTAATTAAACACCAGGCTGAGGTTAATTTAGAAAGTAGAAATACATCCCCGTTACACTTAGCAGTAGCTCATGGTCATTACAAAATAGTTCATCTATTATTAAAATTTAAGGCAAATGTGAATAGTGCTAGTTCAAACAACAAAACTAGTCTTCGTATAGCTCTTGAAAAAGGATATACAGATATAGCTCAACTCTTAATCCAAAATAACGCTTATGTTAATCTTAGAGATATAGATGGTTTTGATGCTCTACATTCTGCAGCTCAATAAGTATGGACATACAAAAATTGTAGAAACATTTATAAAACTCACTATGACATAAACATTAGTATTTCTACAGCACAAACAGCCGTTCAATTGGTTTTAGAACATGGCCATAAAGAGCAAAAATATTAATTACAAATAATGCAGATGTGAACAGACGAACTGTAAATGGTATTTCATATTTACATATAAATTGTAAAAAAAGAATGTCAGAAGCTGTTTTGGCAATCTTGAAACGAGACGTTAACATAATTAAACAATGCCAATTTGATGAATATTAACACCCTTACATATTCATTGCCATGTACTATGACCACAAAGACATCGTAAACATTTCAATAAATAAGGTTGAAAATATAAATATTTCATCATTACATGTTACGGCTACCAAGAAAGGTGTTTTAGATACCTATAGCATTAGAACTAATATTAAAAAATGCTGACATAAATGCACAAAACAATAAACTGGAAATTCCTTTATATCTTGCATCGCTACAAGGATGTTACGACCTTGTTGAGATGCTTTTGAAGTACAATGCAAAGGTTGATTTGGAATGTTTATCAAATAGAATTACAGGTTTAAGTGTGGCCGCCCAGGAAGGTTACGTTGAAATATTAAAGCTACTTTTAGAACATAAGGCTGACATTAATTCTAAAAACTTCCAATGTCTTACTCTTCTTCATAGTCTGCATATATCAGCTTTATATGGTCATAAAGAATGCTTATTAATTTTGTTAGATAAAAAAGCTGATATAAATTCTATGACTACTGATGGTTGGACTGTTTTACAGATGGCTGCAGCAGAAGGTTTCGCTGATATTGTTGATATTTTGCTTGCGAATAGTATTAAAAATGTTAATCATGGAAATAAATCTGGAGCTGCAGCTATTTATTTAGCCAGAGAAGGAGGTCACATGGAAGTCATATAGAAATTATTGAAATACATATAGGTAGTATTTGGAGAAAGTTATTCAATGTGCCACTATCATTCAAAAATGAAAGGCAATATAATTGAGGAACACCGATGATGATATTTTATGAGTCGAATTCTTATACAAACAGGACAAGGCTACTAGACACATAGGCTTCAATGGGCCAGTTGACTGATATCTATTTCACTGCAGGATCATCAAGTTGTAGTCGGGGAGCAGACTGCCGAAAAGACGTCTCCTACACATCGAACTGTGCACTCGAAGATATACGTTTTAAAAAATATGTACAGTGTGGAGAATGACCTTGCGGATCTGAATCCGGAGGGCTCCTTTAAATTCGTAATTGCAATTAGGAAAAAAAAATAAATTTCCGACAATTTTGAATTATCATAAAAAAGCTATTTTTTTTTGTTTAACTCACGATTATGAGGCTATTTTTCAATATTTTTTCAAAATTCTTGAACCAATTCAAAGCCTAGTTATTGTAGATTTCACCTGCATGTGCAAAAAATAATTTTATTTACAATCATACATGTAATGTTGACTTTACTGACTTTTAAAAAGTTCGAAAATGTCACTTTTTTGTCGCCGAAAGAAATATTATTATATGACCCAGACTTTCTGTTAAAGAACCCAAAGATATTGTATGTAAATAAATTAAACATTTGTCCACCATAAACCCCAAAATTCCCAAATATCCTTAATGGTCATTCTTTGGGCGAACAGACTGTCATTTATTGCCAATATTTATTTAGGGTTTTCCAGTTGTAATTATGTAGGTTTTAGAAACGTTTTAGAAGGGATGTAAAGGTCGATTTGTAAGAGATCTAGTGAAGCAAGAAGACAGTCTTAAGACAGCTTCAGTCGTAGTAACACATTTTGTTAAAACTCTCTCCAAAATAAGTCTTACTTTTGCTGTAGTTCAATTTCATTCTATATGCCATTACCTAATAAAGCTACAAGTTTCAAACCAAAAACAAAAGTAGTTTTAACCAAGGCAAAACACTGAAGGATCACAACAGATTTTGGCGCGGTCGGTACGATTCAGAAGTATCTAGCAAGATCCAGCAGGATTTGGATACAAAGATTCAAGACATACCATAGTCAGCCAAAGCTATCATCAGCGTTGACCAGTATTGGATTGAATCACAGTTGTTGTGTAACCACTAGCTTTCAAGTTTTTTGGTAAGTGATTTTTGTCTCTTAATGAGGTTACTTTTGTTTGTCTAACTCCTTTATTAATACTTATATGCCACTATGACTCCTCCTGCCGTAAACCCAGACCTACAAACAATATTATTAGAAACTTTTCAAAACATTTTTAATCAACTTCCTTCGTCAAATTCCAACCCAAATAATGGTAGGTTTTCCGTAGATTTTTTATGCAAACTAATACCTAATAGTTTTGATGGCAATCGTCTTGAATTAGGGCAATTTTTAGCGAATTGTAATAATGCCAATGTATTAGCACAGGACGATCAGAAAAATCCTCTTTTATATTTTATTTTATCTCGAATCGGTGGCAAAGCTAAAGAACAGTTAGCTACCCAAAACTTTGATAATTGGGATACCTTAAAAGACGCTTTAAAAACTTTATATCAAGACAAAAAACATTACGTTCAATTAATGGAAGAGCTAAATAATTGCAAACAAAGTCCTAACGAATCAGTGAAAGACTTTTTTCAACGTTTGGAAACAATTAACTCGCGATTGATATCTACTACTCAACAAAATTGCACAGAACCGGAAGAGATTCCTGGAAAACTGAAAATGTTGAACGAAATTGCTTTAAATAGATTTATAGAAATTTCGCGAATGTTGAGATGGAAAGATTTTGATTCGATTAATTCTGCGTATAGTGCAGCTATTTCTGAAGAACGCGCTGTGGCTATGTCGCGCAGTTCAACTCAGTTTTGCAAAAATTGCAAAAACAACTCGCATTCTACAAATAATTGTTTCAAAACAAGAAATCATGATGCAAACGTAAGAACTTTGTTTACGAATAATCAGATATTTTGTCGTTACTGCAAAAAACAAGGGCATGTTATTGAAGAATGTAGAAAAAGACAATATAATAATAATGCAGGAAGATCTTATAATTCGATGAATTTCCATGTTAATCGACAGCATACTAACCAATCTCATCAAAACTGTAATTCCCAAAACTCAAACTATCAATGTAATAATAGAAATCAAAACTCTAATTCCCAAAACTCAAACTATCAATGTAATAATAGAAATCCAAACTCTAACTTCCAAAACTCAAACTATCAACATAATAACAGGAATCAAAACTCTAATTCTCAAAACTTAAACCAAAACTCGAGCAATCAAATTAATAGAAGACCTTATCGAAATTCGACAAATCATAATCCAGTTTTTCGCGACTCACCTCATACGAATTCAAGGCAGAACGCGAACGTTAATTCAATTCAATACAATTCTAATGTACCAAATTATCAACCAAGTCATTCAAATTCTTTAAACTCCAACGCTCCTCCAATGACGAACACCTCACTGGAGGATCATCTCAAAACTTTAGCGGTGTTCGAGAACGACGAGAACTAACAATATTTCTTGCTGAAAATAGCTCAAGTTTCATTGAACTAGAAAGTAAATATTCAAAAAATCAAAACAAAAAACTCCGATTTTTACTTGATACTGGTGCAAGTTGCTCATTGATAAAAGCCAACAAACTCAATCCTGAGATAACTAAATTTGTTCCTTCAGAAAAAATATCTCTTCATGGACTCTGTCCTAATTCTCCAATTCAAACAGTTGGAACTACCACTATTCCTTTTAACATTAACAATCAGATTTTGAACATAAAATTCCACATACTAAATCAGGCTATATACAAACGTCCCTTATGACGGTCTAATTGGATTGGATTTTATTCAAGATCAAAACGCAAAAATCGATTTTAAAAAACGAACTCTATCTCTAAACTCATTGCCATTTCAAATCCCTATCGGATTAAACGCTAATCCTAACACTGGTTCTTATTTTGTTCTCAAATCTCGTACGGAAACAATAATAGAAATCAACGTTCTAAACCCGGAAATAAAAGAAGGGATCATACCAGATATGGAAATATCTAAGGGAATCTATTTATCCCGAGCATTGACTAAAGTAAATTCAAATAATAAAGCTTTTGCAACAATCTTAAACTCAAAAGTAATTGATTTTCAATTAAAACCTATTTCAATCTATTTAGAACAGATTCCTAAAGAAAGCTACTGTTATTTTGCTTCGGAACAAAGTACTGAAAATAATTTTATTAAAAATAGGAGCCAACTATTGAAACAAAATCTTAGATTAGACCATTTAAACCAAGAAGAAAAGAGCTTCATATTTTCATAACTAATCTTTGTGAAAATTATGAAGATATTTTCTTTCTACCTGGAGATACCCTTGGTTGTACTAACACTATTAAACATGAAATAAACATCTCTGATTCTAAGCCCATTCATACAAAAACGTACAGATACCCAGAAATTCATAAAACCGAAGTTAATAAACAAATCAATAAAATGCTACAACAGGGAATAATTCAACCCTCTGCATCGCTTTGGTCTGCCCCTCTATGGGTAGTACCAAAAAAAATGGACGCTTCGGGGGAACAAAAATGGCGCGTAGTGGTTGATTTTAGAAAATTGAATGAAGTTACAGTTGGTGATGCATATCCAATGCCAAATATCGAAGAAATTTTAGATCAATTAGGCCATAGTAAATATTTCACCACACTCGATTTGGCTTCTGGTTTCCATCAGATTCCAATGAGAGAAGAAGATAAACCAAAAACCGCTTTCACTACACCTTTAGGTCACTGGGAATTTAATCGAATGCCTTTTGGATTAAAAAATGCACCCGCTTGTTTTCAAAGACTAATGAATGCAGTTCTTACTGGTTTACAAGGGTTACAGTGTTTCGTTTATCTAGACGACATAGTTATTTATGGATCAGATCTAAATCAACATGTCTCACGTCTTGAAGCGGTTTTCGACAGACTCAGAAATAATAATTTAAAGTTACAACCCGACAAATGTGAATTCCTCCGTAAAGAAATCTCTTATCTCGGTCATATCATTTCTGAATCAGGAGTAAAACCAAAACCAGAAAAAACTATAGCAATAAAAAACTTTCCCATTCCTAAAAATCAAAAAACAGTAAAAAGTTTCCTAGGTTTAATTGGATATTATCGTAAATTTATCAACAATTTTGCAAAAATTGCTAAACCATTGACTAATCTTCTAAAGAAAAATGTTGCTTTTATTTGGTCTCAAGAATGTCAACAATCTTTCGACACCTTTAAAGAAATTCTAATAAATGAACCTTTACTTCAATATCCAGATTTTTCAAGAGAATTTATTTTGACGACCGACGCTTCAGACTATGCGATTGGTGCGGTCTTAAGTCAAGGTGAGATCGGGCAGGACCTACCTATTGCATACGCAAGTCGTACGTTAAATTCTGCCGAACAAAATTATACAACTATGGAAAAAGAATTATTAGCAGTAATTTGGAGCATTAAACATTTTAGATGCTACCTATATGGTAGAAAGTTTAAAATTGTAACCGATAATAAACCAATCACTTGGCTTTTAAACTGTAAAAATCCCGGAAGTAGACTGATTAGATGGGGATTATTACTTAATGAATACGAATTTGAGATTATTCATAAACCAGGAAAGTTTAATACTAACGCAGATGCTTTATCTCGATGTCTAAATATCAACATTATTTCTAAAAATGATACCTTTGAAAATTTTATAGAATATCATTACAAAACTTTAGATATCAATCCGCAACTTGAAATAAAAAATGGAAATCTATTCGATTTTTTTCCAAACGCAGTTTATTTCTCTACTGATTTGGACGAAAGTAATCAGTTTTCAGAGTCCATAAAAAACAAATTCGATTTCAACGATAGCATAAAATCAAACTTTGAATTATATTCAACTTATAAGTTACAAAATAACAATAAAAAATCCTAT